ATTTCAGGATCTCATTAATGATGTTCTCAGAGACTACATTTATACTTTCGTATTAGTATATCTGGATGATATACTCATTTATTCCCCTGATCGCCAGACTCATCACACATGTTAAACAAGTTTTACAAACTTTGCTCAAAAACTGGCTATATTGTAAACTTGACAAAAGGTCTATTTGACCAGACGGAAGTACAATTCTTGGGCTATAATATTTCGGCCTCTGGTTTTCAGATGGACCCTCGAAAACTAGAAGCTGTTCTTCACCTGCCATTATCCAAAGGGTTAAAAGCCATTCAAAGGTGTATTGGGTTTGCAAACTATTATAGCAGGTTCATCAAAGGTTTCACTACTGTTATAGCACCCATCACCAATATGATGCGAAAATGGGTTGACTGTAATATATGATCTAAAGAAGCTAAAGAGGCTTTTGAGCTACTTAAGAAATGATTCGCTTCTGCTGACATATTGGTACACCCTGACACTAGCAAACCCTTCATACTAGAGGTTGATGCCTCTGAGACAGGGGTCGGGGCTATCCTTTCTCAGAGAGAGAGTCAGGATACCCCTTTGCATCCTTGTGGGTTCTTTTCTAGAAAGTTGTCGCCAGCGGAACGCAACTATGATATGGGTAACAGGGAATTGTTAACCATTATCCTAGTTCTGAAAGAATGGCGACATATTTTAGAAGGTTCCAAGGACCCTCTCCTGATCATAACTGATCACAAAAACTTGGCATACATTGGAGATGCTAAAAGGCTGTCTTCTAGACAAGCTAGATGTCTTGTCATGCTTTAACTTTATCATCACGTACAGGCCTGGTCCTAAGAAAATTAAGGTGGATGCCCTAACTAGGCAATTTGACCTAGAGGCAGAACAAGAACATGAAACCTCTTCCATCATACCACCTGAATGTATCATTGCCTCTATGGTTCTTTCCTTGTCTTCGCCTCTTCTTTGTGCTATAATGGCAGTTCAGACTCAGGCACCTAGTGATAAACATCAAGATAGATTGTTTATTCCGTTACTGTAAAGAGAGGAGGTACTAAGAGTGTTTCACAATAATGTGACAGCTGGTCATCCAGGTATTAATAAAACTGTGTCCGCTGTCTCTAGGTCATTGTAGTGGCCATTTCTTAGAAAGGACATTCAGGGAATATGTGGAGGCATGTACTATTTGTGTGGTTTCTAAGGTTCCCCATAAACTACCTTGCGGGCTATTACAACTGCTTCCTATACGCAATATTCCATGGTCTCATTTGTCTATGGACTTTATTGTGGAACTACCTATTTCTAAAGGCTACAACACCATCCTAATGGTTGTTGACAGCTTTTCTAAAATGGCACACTTTGTTCTGCTCAAAAAGATACCTTCTTCCTAAGAGCTGGCTCATATATTTATTAGCGAAATAGTCAGATTGCATGGTATTCCGCTTAATATCATGTCAGATAGGGGTTCCCAATTTGTGTCATGATTTTGGAGAGCATTTAACAAACAGTTGGGTATAGAATTATCATTTTCATCTTCATACCATCCTCAAACTAATGATGCGGCTGAGAGAGCCAACCAATCATTGGAACAATATTTAAGATGTTTTATTAATGGCACTCAGGAAAACTGGTCTGATTTGCTATCATGGGCCGAATTCGCCAGAAAAAATGCTACCCATGACTAATGTGGACATAATCCATTTTTTGTTAACAACGGATGTCATCCTACTGTCCTCCCTGCGGTATTCTCTGACACTGCTATTCCCTCTCTGGATAACCATCTCACATATATATGAGAGACTTGGACTAAGGTCCACACAACTTTGGAAACAGCTACGGCTTATTTCAAAATGTATGCTGATAAGAGGCATCGTGACAACCCTGGTTACCAGGTGGGTGACAGGGTATGGCTCTCCACATGCATTATTAAAGTTCCTAGCATGAAAGTTGCACCTAGGTTTATTGGCCCCTTTTGAATAATTTGCAGGGTTAATCCTGTGTCTTATTCTCTGCCTCTCTGCATATACCTAATACATTTCATTTATCCCTACTGAAGCCCCTCATCTGCAACAGGTACCCTCCCACTCCTTTGGTTATTTCTGGACAGGAGGAGTACAAAGTCTCATCTGACCCACCCACTCCTTTGGTTGTTTCTGGACAGGAGGAGTACAAAGTCTCCTCTATAATCGACTCCAGATTTTCTTGAGAGTCTCTGCAGTATTTGGGTGATTGGAAGGGTTATGGGCCTGCTGATCGTTCTTGGGTTTCTGCTTCGGACATACATGCAGGCCGCAAAATCCATTCCTTCCATGCCAAATTTCCCCTCAAGCCTTGTCCTGCCCATCCGGTGGGTGGTCTTCAAGTGGGGGGTACTGTCACGGAAGTGTTCTGTGTAAGGGACTTCTTCTATCACCTGCCTTTCCAGAAGATGTGCAATGCAATTTCTCATGGCTCTTTCTTTATTTCCTCTTGATATCAGTGAATTAAATCAGGGATATATGAATAAATTCTGTGCAGGGAATGAGTCAATTTCTATTCTGTAACTTTTTTTTTTAGAATCAATAGGACCCAGGTATCTGCAATGTTTTTGGCCCAGACAGGATAGAAGATGAGAAGTCTCCCTCCTATAACTCCTGACTGAACCTGCAAACATTCAGAAGTTCTTATTTGAAGGTCTGGATCCTCTTCCTCTAGAGGTTTTGGATGTAACTGTTTGATAATTTCTCAAATTAGAGCTTCTGGAATATCCCTGTCCTGGTCTAAATGCTATACTGTCCTGAAAAGAATGTTCTCTCTATTTTTTGTCTTTCCAGTTGATGGACCAAATGCTTTTTTCCCCATCAGAGGCTTTGTGAATATTGTCATCAATAATTTTTTCGAATAGTAAATCTCCTTAAAAACAGGAAAGCTCACAGAGAGGCTTTCGAGGCATAATCTGCTCCACAAGAGTGTAGCCATAATGCTCTTCATGATGCAACCAAAAGTGCCATGCTCTTTGCCCCCCAAATTTTAGGTCTTTGAGACCCTCAGTAAGTTGTTCTCTATGGACTCCTCTTGCTATATCCTCCTGCAAATTCTCTAGCCATACTTTCAATGTTATTGATAGAATAGTTAGTGTGACCACTGGATGTAAGGCCGATCCTATATCCAGACAGGAATTGATAGGATTAGCATCCAGGTGCTTTCCCATTGGCTCTCTTAAATAAGCCATGGAATCTATGGTCAGAGTGGTTCTCTGCAAATTACTGCAGCGTCTATATTTGGAACTGAATTCCATGATTTGCAGTCATCTTGAGAATATGTATGCTTTGTTCTTTAGCATAGCTTTTCTATCTGGTTTGTTCCATTCTTGATAAATGTCTTCCTTAATGATAGTGTCTACAGGAAATGTGGGTCTATTTGCATTGAAATCTTTATGTATTTATCAGATTACTTTTTATCTGATTTCTCGTTGGGAATTCTTAAGGTATCTCTTATAAGGTTAATACGTTTATCCACTGCTCTTGAATCCAAAGATCTGGAAGAACAGCCTACTTCTTATTCTTCTGATACATCCATCATATCACAGTTTTTATCCGAATTTATAGATAGTGTCTCAATTCTGGGTTGTTTAGATGAAGCCAAAATATAATTTTTTTTAGATATTCTTGAAGAGAATGTCTTTTCTCCAATTCTTCTGCTGCATCAACTAGGCATGCTTTACAAAAAAAATGTTCTTGTTAGGTGCTACTTGATTGCAGTTTTCTATTAGTCCTGTCTTTATATTTCCTGGGAGAATCGTCTTGCGTTCTACTTGGGCTGTAAGAGAGGTCAATATATAATATATTATAGACCCATAGTGGCACTCTCACAATTTATAATTAATGAGGCTTACCTCTTTTTCTGGACTAAGACCTTGAGGCTGACAAAAGAAAAAGTACTTAAGAATTTGGAAAGAAATGAAACGTTATTAGAAAAAAAAAGTATTAAATGGTACCTTAAATTGAAAAACTTAAGATCTGAGACAACTTACTGAAGATCCTTAGAATTTTGTCTTTTTAAATTTCCTGGGTTATTAATATTTGGCACGATGTTCCTTTAAGCAAAATCACTGTTCGCACATGCGTGGTCGGCACTTCCTGACACGGAGCAAAAGGAGAATTGGGTTTAAATACCCCTCCTGTGGATCCGATTGGCCGTAACCGGCCTTTGACCTCAAAAGCAATTACCAGGTTTCCGTGTGCATGATTGCTGCTCAGCACAAACCCTCCTGTGGATCTGATTGGCCATATCCAGCCTTTGACCCCAAAAGCAATTACCATGTTTTCATGTGCATGATTGCTGCTCGGCACAACTTTTCCTGTCAGAATGGTAATGCTGCTCGGCACAACTTTTCCTGTCAGGATGGTAAATGTCATTAACCACATTTTTATGTGCAGATGAATACGTGACAACACCTCACACACACTACACACCCTCACACACACTGCATCCCTCACACATACCCTCACACACACTGTGAGTAGCAACATCATCAATACCAGTTAACATCACACGCATCCCTGGAGAAGCAGTTCCAGCCATCACATAGGAGTGATACAAGTAAATGTTTGACCAAATACAGCAGGCTAATATTTAAGTTGATAATTTTGTATGGCCTGGAAATGATGTTATAAATATCCAAATGACCCTTGGCAGATAAAAGGTTTCCCATGCAGCTAAAATGTTCCCCATCCCTGCTCTAATGTATGACCATAGATAAATATTGTTCTTGCACGTAAAGGTAACAATTTTAAGACTAAAGTGAAAATGGTACAGCATTTCAAGGAAAAATTGAGAAATACAACTGCAGACACAATCTGCACCCTGAATACCTGAATATATTATTTATTTTATTTGGCTTTAGAACAGTACCTAGGTTACAGTTAATTTCATGCAATGTTTTCAACTGATGCTGTGAAAATGAGCAACACACCACCTGATCAAACATTTCCAAGAGCCACTATAATTAAAAGCAAATATTTTTCTAAAGACTATGAGGACTACACGATTGTTTCTTAAGCTATGTACACTTCTATATTTTGTAAAGCATTGCTAAAAGTAAATCATAGCTATCTTACATTATTCCTTCAGCATTTGTACTGTAAGTCATCAGGCTGAGGTTTTCTGCAGGGATGTATTCCCTATGTGGAGCGATGGTGTTCACTCCTCCCTTTCGGTGGAGTTTATTGGAGTAACACTCAAAGCACCATAACCAGGGCCGCTTTTAATATTGATTGGACACTGGGCAAGCATTTACTTGGGCCCCCTGGACCTGGTCGCCCCACTCTGTGGCATGCAATCATGCCTTCCACATCAACCTAGTGGCAGAACTAATGTAGAGAGGGTCCTGTGCAAGGAAATGTTTCTGCCCCCACACCCCCCCCCCCTCTAACACAAGAGTGGCAAAAAGATAGATACCCATCTTTCCCCAACTCGCACAATGCTACGTCAGTTGGGTATCTACTATTTGGCCATCCTTGCATGGTTGTATCTGTGAGCATTTTTTTGCATTTGAATATAAGCATGTTTTTGTGTAGAGTATGTGTGTGCATGTAGAGGTGTATTTGTACATACAGTTACCATTGGAATGTAGTGGTTTACTTGTGTGTAGTGTTTGAACGAAGGGGTTTGTGTTTGTATGTAGTGTTGGCTGTAGAGTTGGTGTGTTTATATAATTTTAGCATTTTTACAGTGGTGTGTTTGTATGTAATATTTGCAATTGCATGCAGAAGTGTTTTGATGTGTTGTCTCTTAAATGCGGATGTACATTTGTGGTGTTTGAGTGAAGTGGTGTGTTTGTATGTAATGTGTGTATTTGCAGGGGTCTCTTTGCATGTTGTGATTGCTGGGATATATTCACATAGAGAAAAGTATACCCTTTAAAAAAAAAAAAAAAAAAAAAGTGGAATCAGCCTGTTTGAGATGGTCCACCACAGGACCAAGGGGTTTTAGCCCTCCGAAATAATACAGTAGAAAATGTGGTGTAATTAAAACTTCACTTTTAATTCATTCATATTAAAATGAAAAACCTATCTAAAACAATCACATCATCTAAAACGAAGTTACGAAAATCACCTGTGATCTTTAAAAGAGAAGAAAAATAAATAGTAAAAGAGATAGTGAACCATAAGATAAATGTATGTTCTACTTATAATTTGTATCTTGATCCCATTTGGTAAAAGGCATTGCAGTTTATACACTGTTCACCAGGTGTCACAATCCTCCTAGTTAGTTGAAACCCATAAAGATCACTCTCCAAAAAAAATGGGTTATAAAACCACACACTTGCAACCACATATACTGTTCTATAGGGATCATTGTTCAGGTGAGTTAGTTGAAACTGGGCAATGCAAGTAATATTAAATCTAACCCACTGAGGGTAACTGTTCTTCCAAATATAAAAATAATAATAATTATTTTATATTTAGTACAATAATGCAATAATAACATATATTTGAAATTAACTTAGAATGTCAAGAGAATTTTTCCACCCTCCCCCACAAAAACAAACAAACAAAAAATCAGTACCAGTCCTATTTAGTATACATGAAACAGCACAAAACCAAGTCCTACCTGTCTCTATGCTGTTAAATGGCAAACTATTGTGATGCCCTCTAAATTCCTAGTCTAATGTTTGGTTTGCATGTATGTAGGTGGATGACCAAACTAAAGAGAAAGCAGTAACCCACACTGGGACAAATCTATTAGTCTAAATCGTAATCAAGACAGGTGGCTAGGTTGTTCCCTAACAACATCTCTATTCTCAGCTGCTTTCTAGCTATGCCCCAATTATTTGCCAGCCACCAGTCCTGATGAAAAATCAAACAAACAAACTGCATAATTGCAGTGTGAGTCTACTTGCGCACCCGACGTACATTTCACCTGGTCACTGCTACCAGGATCTTCAGGAGTGACAACAGACTTGCATTGCCGGGGGTTTAGATCCCCCTTTTACCCCTTTGGTAGGGGATTCCTTTGACTGTATTCATACAGGAACTCCCGATTTTGCTCCAAATTTTTATGGAACTGTTTTGGGCTTCCACCTTGTGGCTGTCCAGTCAATCAGAACTTTACCCCGATGGGGATTCTCTTCTACCGAACGGATCTGAGCGCTATTTGGGCAACTTTGGCACTCGGATCCAGGCTATCCCGGGAGACTTTAACTCAGTCATCAGGCCATGCTGCCTAAATAAATATGGCTTACCTCTGCTGGTTCGGGGGATGAACTGCAGCCCATATAAAAACAAATATTAAGCCATGACATCATAAGCTTAAAGGGACCACGTAATTTAGGTGACCCAATACTATTTGGGATCGCAGAGATAAACTGGACCAATAGGAACTCTTTTGAACCTATTTAAGGCTTGTTTTAGCCTCCATTCATTGTCCTAAAGTGGTTTCTTGTTAGATCCTCGTTTAGTGCTCCTAGAGATTTTCTTGTGATTTCCTGTGTTTGACCTCGGCTTCGTATTTGACTTGTGATTTCTGGTATCCTGACCCGGCTTTGTCTTGACTTTGTGTATTTCTGACCTTGATTTGTTCTTGACCTTAATTCTCACTAATTTATTATGTTAAGTCCGGCCATTCTAAGGCTCGATTATGTCTTTCGAATCCACCTTTTGTGGGTTTATTATTTTCTGCATGTTGGGATACGACTCCCGTGACAATACATGTGGGGTTCCTGTGAATATTGGGGGTACTTTTGGAGGATTCTGAATATATTTAGTATGTTTCTCTGTAACTGAGAGATAATTGAGTTACAGTTTCCTGACTCAAATTACTCACAGGGATGCCAAGGAGTGGCTTGCTATATTCTTGCATGGAGACTACATGCTGGGGGTCTGTGTATAAATTGAGCATGTTGTGCCTAAATAAACCAGATGACTTCCAGAACTATGTCTCATCTAGTTACTGGGGGGGGGGATACGCGTTATAATTACACAAGATTACAGTCTGGCTGAGAGGGAAAATAGTGGAGTTAACTAGTCGAGTTACCCAGAGTCCACTGCACACATACATACTTACACATATATACACATACACATTAAAACATAGCTACACACGTAGACACACTGAACATGCACACACCTTGATAAACCGATACACACACTGACACATACACACACACACACATTGGCACACACACTCAGATACACACTAACACCCAGACTGTTATGGACGTAAATTAGGATTAGTAAAATGTCTATTTACTCTGTGCATCTGTGTTCATTATTTACTGTGTTAACCTGGCTGCTAGAACAACCCATCCCATCAACTACACCCCGTGTAACAAGATGGCGCTGGAATATAGAAGAGACTTTCATAATGACAGTAACATCACACCCTGTAGGATGTGCATTAGATGAACCACTTAACACCTAACCAATTATTGATGTATTTTCTCTGTTATCTATAATTATGCATATGACGTATTTCTGTCTTCATAAGGGGCTCTCCACCCCATGATGAAATATTCCTG